CTGCAGGGCTGCTTCTGTGTGGGCGACAAGGGCGGCGTCATCAGCATAAAGCAGCTCCTGGACAAGATGGTTTAAGGTCTTAGTATGGGCCTTCAGTCACCTTAGGTTGAAAAGGCTTCCATCAGTACGGCATTGAATGTAGATACCATCCTGATCATCGAGGTCTGCCATCGCCCTTTGGAGCATCATGCTGAAAAAGACTGTGAATAGGGTTGGTGCAAGAACGCAGCCTTGTTTCACACCATTCGTTATTAGAAAGGGCTCAGAAAGTGCATTGCCATATCTGACTTGACCGTGTTGATCCTCATGGAGTGAGATGATCATTTTAAGGAACTTGGGGGAACAACCTAAGCATTCCAAAATCTGCCATAGACCTTTTCTGCTCACAGTATTGAAAGCCTTGGTGAGATCAACAAAGGTTACATAGAGACCTTTGTTCTGTTCCCTACACTTCTCTTGCAGTTGTCTGAGAACAAATATCATGCCTGTGGTACTCCTGTTGGCTCTGAAACCACACTGACTTTCAAGTAGAATTCCTTCTGCTATAGCGGGTATTAGTGTGTTCAGGAATATTCTTGCCAGGATTTTGCCAGCAAAGGAGAGCAGAGTGATACCACGGTAATTTGAACAGTCTGATTTAATTTTCTTCTTATATGAGGTGATGATGACTGCATCATGAAGGTCTGATGGTAGTTCACCTAGTTCCCCACAGCGCAGTACGAACTCGTGAAATTTAGCATGGAGTGCTTGGCCCCCATGCTTCCAGACTTCAGGTGGAATTGCATCAACCCCAGCTGCCTTGCCAATTTTCACCTGCTGTATGGCCTTAAGGGTTTCTCCTAAAGTGGGGGCAGTATCCAATTCATACTTCACCGGTTGTTGTGTGATGGACTGAATAGCTGAGTCTTGGACTACATGGCTAGTACTGAAAAGAGTCTGAAAGTGTTCAGACCATTGATTCAGGTTTTATCTGTCAGAAGCGTTTGACCATCAGCGCTGAGTAGAGGACTTTGGGCTTGGTATGTAGGCACGTATGCTGTTTTCGGGGCTTCATAGAATCCTCTGTGATCACCCGTGTCTGCGCATAATTGTGTTTTTTCAGCTAGATTGATCCACCACTTGTTCTGGATGTCACAAAGTTTCTGTTGGAGCTTGCTGCATGCAAGACGAAAGGCTGCTTTTCTTACGTGACAGGATGGCAGTGCAAGGTGTGCTTGATGAACAGTTCTCTTCTTCCTCAACAATTCCTGGATCTCTTGATTGTTTTCATCAATCCAGTCCTTGTTCTTCTTGAGGGAGAACCCTAAGGATTCTTCACAGGACTGCAGGATGCTGTTTTTAATATGGTGCCAAAGTGTTTTAGGAGCGGTATCTATAGAATCAATTGAATGGTTTTTGAGCCTAGTTTGAAGATTAGCCTGGAATTTTTTTCTCACTGTGGCTGATTGGAGATTGTTAACTTGCAGTCTCCTCCTTGGGATACTGCCCCTTTTAGGTTTGAATTTAAGATTGAGGTTAAGTTTACAGCACACCAGTCGATGGTCTGTTTGGCATTCTGCACTAGGCATCACGTGGGTATGGTGGACATCGTGGACGTCTCTCCGTCGCACCAAGACATAATCCATGAGGTGCCAATGCTTGGATCTGGGATGCATCCAGGTTGTCTTCAGACTATTTTTCTGCTGAAAGATAGTATTAGTGATGGTGAACTGTTGCTCCGCACAGAATTCTAGCAGAAGGCGACCATTATCGTTGCAGTTTCCAACACCATACTTGCCTAATATTCCTTTCCAGGCTTCAAAATTCTTTCCTACTCTGGCGTTGAAATCACCAAGGATAATGATCTTATCACCTGCAGGAACCTTTTGGGTAAGGTGGCGCAGGTCAGTGTAAAATTTATCCTTTTTGGCAGGGTCAGCTTGGAGAGTTGGGGCATATATACTAAAGAGGAAAACGTGTTGCTTGTTGTTTAGTGGAAGGCGTAGGGAGATAATGCAGTCAGAATGACCTGTTGGCAGATTTTCGAGTTTAGGAACAATAGAGTTTTTAATCATGAAGCCGACTCCTGAGAGATGCTTTTCGGTTCTGGGTTTACCTGACCAAAAGAGTGTGTAATTGGCACCATGTTCTCTAAGGCTGTCTTCCTCGTGAAGGCGAACTTCACTGAGAGCAGCAATGTTGATGTTGAGACGTGACAGTTCATGGGCAATTAGGGCAGACCGATGCTCAGGACATCCGCTATCTGCAGAATTGAGCACGGTTCTGATGTTCCAGCATGCTAGAGTTAATTTGGGTGCACCTTTGGAGGCAGGTGTATGCCTTTGTCTTTTGATCTTTGTGTGACTGCATTTGTATATGCCTTTGCTAATCTGTTGTCTATCTCCCTGTCAATCTTACCATCCGAGGAGATGAGGCTGCCTAGGTAATTAAACTGCTGGACTGATTTGAGTTCTGATTGACCAATGGTGATGTGGGGATGATGGGGGACTTCCTGAGGTGCAGGTTGATGGAGAACTTCTGTCTTCTTTAAACTGACTTCCAACCCAAAGAGCTCAGCAGCGTCTGCAAAGCTGGATGTTAAACGCTGCAGGGCTGCTTCTGTGTGGGCAGCAAGGGCGGCGTCATCAGCATAGAGCAGCTCCCGGGCAAGATGGTTTAAGGTCTTGGTATGGGCCTTCAGTTGCCTTAGGTTGAATAGGCTTCCATCAGTACGATATTGAATGTAGATACCGTCCTGATCATTGAGGTCTGCCATGGCCCTTTGGAGCATCATGCTGAAAAAGACTGTGAATAGGGTTGGTGCAAGAACGCAGCCTTGTTTCACACCATTCGTTATTAGAAAGGGCTCAGAAAGTGCATTGCCATATCTGACTTGGCTGTGCTGATCCTCATGGAGTGAGATGATCATTTTAAGGAACTTGGGGGGACAACCTAAACGTTCCAAAATCTGCCATAGACCTTTTCTGCTCACAGTATTGAAAGCCTTGGTGAGGTCGACAAAGGTTACATAGAGACCTTTGTTCTGTTCCCTACCCTTCTCTTGCAGTTGTCTGAGAACAAATACCATGTCTGTGGTACTCCTGTTGGCTCTGAAACCACACTGACTTTCAGGTAGAATTTCTTCTGCTATAGCGGGTATTAGTCTGTTCAGGAGTATTCTTGCCAGGATTTTGCCAGCAATGGAGAGCAGAGTAATACCACGGTAATTTGAGCAATCTGATTTAATTCCTTTCTTCTTATACAAAGTGATGATGAGTGCATCACGAAGGTCTGATGGTAGTTCGCCTAGTTCCCCACAGCGCACCACAAACTCGTGAAATTTGGTATGGAGTGCTTGGCCCCCATGTTTCCAGACTTCGGGTGGAATTCCATCAACCCCAGCTGCCTTGCCAATTTTCACCTGCTGTATGGCCTTGAGGGTTTCTCCTAAAGTGGGGGCAGTATCACGTGACTGCATTTGTAGAAGATGTCGCTACAGTGCTTTGCAAATGTGGGTAAGGCCTTTGAGCCTGCGCAATGGATTTTTTAGGTGAGACACAGTGTGCGCGGAACTGAACCCACCCTTTATCCTAAGGTTCATCTGCCAGGGCCGAGTGAGCTTGGACGGTGGCAGTGGGGTCCTCAGGACGTAGGTTTAATTGGAGTGACCTTCTCTTAGATGGATGGCCTTACAGGGCTAATCGAGCTCCATCTGCCCGGGTTTAGAGTTGTCCTTTTCCTCTGTGTGCTCCGAGGCTCCCCCTCTCATCTCCCACAAGGGCACAGTCTGTGCCGGCGAAGCTCCTCCTCTCTCTCTCCTTTCCGCGCCCTGGGTGGGGTCCGAGCGCCCGGGGCTGGGCCACGCCGCGCGCCCACGCCCGGGCCGGACCAGGCTGGGCCGGGGCCATGCCACATGCCCAAGTTCCGGGCCGGGCCCAATAACACAAATAAAGCTGAACAAAAAGCATCTTCAAATTCAGTCTCTAGATACAAAATAAAATGTTACTTTTTTCATTCTTTTATTGTTCAAATGAATCTTTTTAAAGATATTATGAAAAGCCTAGCTAATTTTATTACTGAAAGCCCCTAAATTTTCCTTCACTGACAATAAAATCCATTTCAAATACTCTTCATGTTTATCTTCTGTCAGTTCTAAACAAAAACTCTTGTTCATTACTCAGCTTTCTTGCTTGTTAGAGACAAGTTTACAGTGCAATTTTAGCAAGGCCAGTCTATTTGTTAATTGTTTTCTTATTGTTTCAGAGACCAGTAAGTCAACTGCTATAAACACAGTCTATTGTAAGGTAAGGAATAGATAGCAGACAGCTTTTGAGAGACTAAATAAAGATTTAAATCAACCTGACTGAATTTGCTCTGAAGTGAATCAAAAGCATTCACAGAATCTATTTCAGTGGGGGTTCAGTAACTCCCAGAGCAAGGTAAATAACAAAATCAACAAATTTGAAAAAGAAACTTTAAAACATAATAAGCAGCAGAATATGCAATCATACAAAGAACTTGATATCCTCTGAAATACAGATTAAAACAGCTTTAAAAAAACAAACCAAACCAAAAATTTGAATAGATGTAGGGGCTTTGACTGCCTCAGATAAACCCTGGAAAGTCACTTTCACAAGCTGTTACTGAAGTGTTTTGACAGAATGATAATGAAAACAACATGATAGATCTCAGTTTTAAAATTCCTATGAGTTCTATCTCTCCAGCAATTCACAAGATTTCCCACATGATCACAATGTATCTACAATACTTCTGAAAGTTTTCTTCCTAAAAAAGTCTTTCAGAGTGCTAGTGTTGAACTGTGTCATTCAAGGACACTGCCATCACAACATACATGGTCAATGTTCGCCCTTCAAACATATTACTTTTGACATTATTGTTCATATCAATTTCCAACGGAGATAATTCTATCTTGAACCAATTTTTAAAAGCTTCGATTTCAGAGAGGTAAAATAGAACACATCAATTTATTTTAAAGATAAGTGATTTAATATAACACTTACCTGTGCAGTTTCTGTCATCTTCTGTTCAAAAGCAGATTTAACTGCAGCATATTTCTCCACATACAATTTATAGGTATCTGTAGCTTTTTTCAATTTAACTGCTGCCTATAGATTAGTACAAAAAAAAGTGTTAAATGTCACACATCCAATCTGAACCAAGGCTTTTCAAAGTCACTATTAATAGAAAGCCTAGGATGACCTATAAAAATATTCAGGCGCATATCAAAACAGTGAAGTATCATAACAAAATTTCACCACCAAATAATGGATCCAAGCCATTAGAGATTTCTATTTAAAGCTATACATTAACGACCTAAAAAGGTAACAAAGCAATTACCTCATTTAAATACCTCCCTCTTATCAGCAATGACTGTTATACTTATTTTGAAATAAATATTTAAAAATTTGTATTGCCAAACTTAACTAAATAGCCCATGTCAAATATTTAAATCTGCAACAGAAAAGCAGGAAGAGAGCAGGGCTGGAATACAGATTAAACAGTTATTAGTGAAATTCTGAAAGAGTCAATGGTAAAAAATACAAGGCTGCACAGTTGTCTTAGAAGTGAATGAAGAAATATAAAGGAAAAGATATTCAGAAGTACAGGTGTTATGCCAATGGAAATTTTAAGATTAAGAGATATTTGAAAGTGAAGTTAATGCAGAACAAACTGATGGCCAAATTTATGCAGCTCAGAGTTGTTTAAAATAGTTCTTTTGGGCTTTATAATTTTATTTGTTTCACTATTTCTTGCTAATAAACCAAAGTGTTCTTTTTGTGGACTTAATATTCTTAAAAGACAAAAAGAAATACAGGAGAATACCAATATTACATGGACAACAAAACTGAATGAAGGGATTGGTTTTGGTAGAGAAAAGTGATTTTCAAAGTCTACAGCATAGTAAACGAGATGAAGTTTTTCAAAACTTTGATAATCTTGCTATTTCCGCATTAAAAGCAAATTAAAATAAAAACTATTTGCCTGGAACATCAGCCTTTTTGTAGCTTCTGTGTTCAACATGCCTACTTTATTTATCTTATCAAAAATTCCCATCAGTTGTAACTCAAAAATATTTCTGAATTGTTAATGAAATCAGTAAAGACAGTTGTATATATAATATTTGTTCTAGTTCTGAATAGCTTTCCTCGCTGTTCAGGATTAAAATAAATTTACTTCAAGAATATTATAAATTAATTGTGTAGGTTTAAGTAGTGATTTGCAATCACCAACCATATGAAGTTTAACAAGGGCAAATGCTGGATTCTGCACCTGGGATGGGGCAACCCTGGTTGTGTGTATAGACTGAGGAATGAGATGCTGGAAAGCAGTGCTGTGGAAAGGGACCTGGGGGTCCTGGTTGATGGCAAGTTGAATATGAGTCAGCAGTGCCCTGGCAGCCAAAAGGGCCAACTGTGTCCTGGGGGGCATCAGGCAAAGCATTGCCAGCCAGTCAAAGGAGGTGATTGTCCCACTCTATTCTGTGCTCGTGCAGCCTCGCCTCAAGTACTGTGTGCAGTTTTGGTCACCGCAAGATAAGAAAGATATAAAGCTATTAGAGAGCATCCAAAGGAGGGCCACGAGGATGGTGCAGGGTCTGGAGGGGAAGCCTTATGAGGAGTGGCTGAGGTCACTTGGTTTGTTCAGCCTGGAGGAGGCTGAGGAGAGACCTCATTGCGGTTTCAACTTCCTCACAAGGGGAAGCAGAGGGGCAAGTACCAATCTCTTCACTTTCATGACCAGTGACAGACTCGAGGAAATGGCATTAAGCTGTGTCAGGGGAGGTTTAGGTTGGATATCATGAAAAGATTTTTCACCCAGAGGGTGAAATAAACTGATTCTGCCTCAGAATGTAGGGTCTGAACTATTCTTAAACGCTTGCCTCTTTTAAATGAATTTAATGTGTCCCACAGGAAAATGGAAACTATTTCTCACTTTCAATTACTTGTAAAGCTGATCACTATATATAACTTTCAAATGAATTAAAATAAAATGTACTCAGGAAAGATATGCTGTAATTTCCAAGAGAAAAATAACTGAAAATCATGACTAACAGTAGAGTGTTATCACTTGTTCACATGGGGAAACATCAACCAGGAAATGAAGAGGAATCAAAGAGTTTCCAATTCTGAGAGAAGTAAGGAGGGGTGTCAGCAGAACTGCTCCTTTGGATTTCCGGAGGGCGGACTTTGACCTATTTAGGAGACTGGTTGAGACAGCCCCTTGGGCAGCAGTCTTGAAGGGCAAAGGAGTCCAGGAAGGCTGGACATGCTTTAAGAGGGACATCTTAAAGATACAGGAACAGACAGTCCCCATGTGTTGTGAAATGAGCCGGTGGGGAAGAAGACTGGCCTGGCTGAACAGAGAGCTTTGGCTGGAACTCAGGGAGAAAAAAGAGAGTTTATCACTTCTGGAAAAAGGGGCAGGCAGCTTAGGAGGACTACAAGGATGTTGTGAGGTCATGAAGGGAGAACATTAGAAGTGCAAAAGCCCAGATAAAACTTAATCTGGCCACTGCTGTAAAAGACAACAAAAAGGGTTTCTACAAATGCATCAGCAACAAAAGGAGGCCCAAGGAGAATCTCCATCCTTTGTTGTATGGGGGGGAAACACAGTAACAAAAGATGAGGAAAAGGCTGAGGTACTTAATGCCTTCTTTGCCTCAGTCTTAAATAGCAAGACCAGTTGTCCTCAAGGGACCCAACCCCCTGAGCTGGAAGACATAGGGAGGGAGCAAAATGAAGCCCCCATAATCCAGGAGGAAATGGTCAGTGACCTGCTATGCCACTTAGACACCCACAAGTCCATGGAGCCAGATGGGATCCACTCAAGGGTACTGAGGGAGCTGGCGGAAGAGCTCACCAAGCCACTTTCAATCATTTAGTCAATCATTCAGTCCTGGTCAACCAGGGAGGTCCCAGGTGACTGGAAATTGACAAATGTGATGTTCATCTATAAGAAGGTTTGGAAGGAGGATCCAGGGAAGTACAGGCCTGTCACCCTGACCTCGGTGCCAGGGAAGGTCATGGAGCTGATCATCTGTAGTGCCATCACACAGTATGTGCAGAACAACCATGGGATGAGGCCCAGCCATCATGGGTTTATAAAAGGCAGGTCCTGCTTGACCAACCCGATCTCTTTCTATGACAAGGTGACCCACCTAGTGGATGAGGGAAAGGCTGTGGATGTTGTCTACCTGGACTTCAGTAAAGCCTTTGACACCATTTCCCACAGCAGCCTCCTGGAGAAATTGTCTGCTTGTGTTGTGGATGGGTGTACTCTCAGCTGGGTTAAAAACTTGCTGGATGGCTAGGCCCAGAGAGTGGTGGTGGACTGTGCTACATCCAGCTGGTGGCCGATCACGAGTGGTGTTCCCCATGGCTCAGTATTTGGCGCCAGCCCTGTTGAATATCTTCATCGATAACCTGGGTGAGGTGATCAAGTGCACCCTCACCAAGTTCACAGATGACATCAAGTTGGGCAGGAGTGTTAATCTGCTGGAGGGCAAAAAGGCTCTGCAGAGGGATCTGGACAGGCTGGATTGATGGACCAAGACCAATTGTATGAGGTTCAACAAGGCCAAGTACTGGGTACTGGACTTGGGTCACAGCAACCCCCTTCAGCGCTACAGGCTTGGGGAAGAGTGAATGGAAAGCTGCTCGGCAGAAAAGGACTTGGGGGTGCTGGTCAACAACTGCTAAACATGAGCCAGCAGTGTGCCCAGGTGGGCAAGAAGGCCAATGGTATCCTGGTTCTATCAGCAATAATGTGGCCAGCAGGACCAGGGAAGTGATTGCCCCCCTATACTCGGCACTGGTGAGGCCGCACCTCAAATCCTGGATTCAGTTTTGGGCCCCTCACTACAAGAAAGACAATGAAGTGCTGGAGCATGTCCAGAGAAGGTAACAGAGCTGGTGAAGGGTCTGGAACACAAGTCTGATGAGGAGCAGCTGAGGGAGCTTGGGGGGGCTACACCAAGAGAAAAGGAGGCTGAGGACCTTACCGGTCTCTACAACTACCTCAAAGGAGGTTGTAGTCAGCTGGGGGTCACTCTCTTCTCCCAGGTAACAAGTGACAGGATGAGAGGAAACGGTCTCAAGTTGCACCAAGGGAGGTTTAGATTGGATATTAGGAAAAATTTCTTCACTGAAATGGTTGTAAAGCATTAGAAAAGGCTGCCCAGGGAAATGGTAGTTACCATCCCTGGAAGTGTTCAAAAAACGTGTGGATATGACATGAGGACATGGCGAACATGGCAATTGTGCTAGATTAATGGTTGGACTTGATGGTCTTAAAGGTCTTTTCCAACCTTAATGATTCCATGAAAAAGAGAAGACATCATTAGAGATAGGGAAAGATAACCTCTTTCCTCTACTACTTTCTTTCCTGAAAACTGGAAAAAGTTACAAGTTGCCACCAGGTCTATGGAGGCAAAGGCACACCTGAGTCCTGTGTCCAGTTCTGGGCTCCCCAATACAGTAGAATAGAATAGTTCAGTTGGAAGGGACCTAAAACACTCATCTAGTCCAACTGCCTGACAGCTTCAGGGCTGACCAAAAGTTAAAGCATGTTATTAAGGGCATTGACCTAATGCCTTTTAAACACTGACAGGCTTGGGGCATCGACTGCCTCTTTAGGAAGCCCATTCCAGTGTTTGACCACTCTCTCGGTAAAGAAATGCTTCCTCGGGTCTAGTCTGAACCTCCCCTGGTGCAGCTTTGAACCATTCCCATGTCTTGTCACTGGATACAAGGGAGAAGAGCTCAGCACCTCCCTCTCCACTTCACCTTCCCAGGAAGCTGCGGAGAGCCATGAGGTCACCCCTCAGCCTCCTTTTCTCCAAACTAGACAAACACAGAGTCCTCAGCTACTCCTCACAGAACATGCCTTCCAGCCCTTTCACCAGCCTTGTTGCCCTTCTCTGGACACATTCAAGGACTTTCACATCCTTCTGAAATGGTGGACCCACAACTGCACGCAGCACTCAAGGTGAGGCTGCACCAATGCTAAATACAGTGGGATTATCACCTCTTGACTGGCTGCTTCTACTGTGTTTGATGTCCCCCAGGATGTGGTTTGCCCTCTTGGCTGCCAGGGCCCACTGCTG